ATGATAAAAAATGGTTGTAATAATAAAGTCCTTCTCCTGTCGCAATTAACCCTCTCCAATCACCTTAATCGGATCCGCGATCATGATTAACTAGTTTTGCGAAATAAATTAGTATTGCAGCTAAGTTATCTCAACCCCACGATCATTATTGTGTTTCAAACAATTGTGTCTAGTTTTTGTGATAATCTCGAGTTTAGCGGTTTGGCGGTTTAAATTAAGAGACATTTTAATTAAGGAAATTAAGCTAACAACTGTAGGGGACTGAGTGATCGATAGCTGCAATAGTGAAATCTCCTAGGATGTGGAGGAGCGCTTTACAATTGGATTAAACGATACACAGCAGGTCGAGTACTTCCAATTAAGCCACGGATTTGCTTGGTGTTTGTGGCCACAATTCTTGACTTGTAGGCGTTACTAATGAACAATTTGCATACTTTTAACAATATAAGTAAATAACTCAATTTAATCTAGTCCCAGTTTCAATCACCTCTTTCATAAATCTCAATTCTGGTGGACAAGTGTGACTTTTACCTTCCTGAACCTTAAATCGTAAAATTCTCGACAAGTTTGGAGTAAGTTATATAAAGTGAACTTTGCAAAAAATTACTCTTTCTGTTACTTGCTTTACATTTTCAATTTTTAAGTTGTCATTAAAAAATAATGAAAACGAGACAATCGACATGTGTTGATTGGACTTTTAATTGAAATGCGAGAAGTGAAAATAAAAAGCAAATATTTATTTAATTTAAAATTCAGAGCTGGGGTGTATAAAAAACAGCGGTTTTTGTATTGATAACAATCCAAATTAAACATTAAATAAAAAATCCTCCAATTTTGTAACGCTTGCTACATTTTCTAAACTGAAACAAAGTCAATAGACGCTTGAATATCTTATTAGAAGGCAATTTTCGAGCATAAATTAAACAAATAAAAGATAATTAAAAATTTACTTGATGTGAAACATTTCTATGTTTTTGCAATTTGCATCAAGTTAAATACAACATAAAAAATAAGAAGAAAAAATATTAAAAACTAAAATGTTACACTTTTTAAATAAAAAAATAAATAATTGAAAATTTTTGCAAATAATAGTTATTTATTCGACGAGTTTGAGTGTAATTCAGACGCTTTATTTTACTCGTGGATTTTTAAAACACCTAATTCTTTGAATTAGATTCAACAAGGATTAAAATTGCTTTAAATCTGTTAAAAATAATCTGACATTTTGTATTAAGAAATGCCAAACAGTTGTCAAAACTTTTTTACTCAAAAACCGTAAAGTTTGCGAATGTCAAATAAAATTTTTTGCTTTAATAATATGGTGGATGCGCTAGACTAAACATGAAAAATTAATTTAATTTCAAATTAACATTTTATTAAAACAAGGAATATAGTCACAATATTAAACTCTACAATAAACTCAACCCTACTGCAATTAATTAAATAATTGACGCAATATTTGTTAATTAATTAACAAATATTTTCATTAAAAAAATATTTAAATTTTATAAACGTTTCTTACTTAGTTGTGTAACAAAAGTTTTACTAAAACAAAAGCAAATTAGCAAATCGTTTTTAAATAATAAACGCCAACACAAAACACAACTTTTCATAAATATACAGGGTGTTCGGTCCAAGTCGCCACGGCTGATAACACCTAAACTTACTTCTTTTTTTCAAAAAGTAAATATTTAAGTACTGATATTAATTCTTGGCTTTCTTAATAAATGTATAAATTTTTTTTAACACATCCGGTGTTGCCGCAAATGCTACCAAATTTTGTTTTTTAAATAGACCACTTATGTTTTTTTTCCTCGAAACAATAATAATTGGCATGAAAAATACGGTAAACCACTATTTATTACATTTTGCGTAACACAATGCAATCAGAAAACATCTTAAATTTTAGAATTTTATAAGGAAATTGGTCGCGTAGAATGATTTTTAATTTTAAAAGAAAGGTATGAATAAAAAAAATGCTTGGATACAGTTTAATTGTTGGTTTGACAAATCTAATTTGTCAATTTATGAGCGAGTTCTCTTATGGAAACTCTGGTTTTAAGAAGCGAACCTGTTTGTCTCAGTTGTTTTTCAATTCGACTAAATATTCAACGATTTGGGTGAACTCTAATTGGGTATTTTTCTCTATACTGTCTTTCAGCTTCCGCTCTATTTGTATTTGCACTTAAAAAACTCTTCAAGCTGATCTACCAATTTGTCGTAATTATTATCATCCATTATTAAAAATCTCAGTAAGATTTATTGACAAATTAGGCTTTGTCAAAATAACAATTGAACGGTATCCAAGCATATTGCTTTTTGCATGAATACCTTGATAAGTAAAATCCGCCTACGTTGCAAAATTTGCTAATAAAATTCTAAAATTTAAATTGTTTTTTGAGTGCATTATGTAAAGTAAAATGTAATAAATAGTTGTTTACCGTATTTTTCATTCCAATTATTATTGTTTCGAGGAAAAAAAACATAGATGTTCCATTTGAAAAACTAAATTTGGTAGCATTTCCGGCTACACCGGATGTGCCAAAAAAATTTATGCATTTACTAAGAAAACCAGGAATGAATAATATTATTTGAAAATTTAGTTTTTGAAAAAAAAAGTAAGTTTAGGTGTTATTGGCTGGGGCGACTTGGACCGAACACCCTGTAGATAGGTAAATGCAGTAAACGAGTTTTTTGTACTTTTTATTTTATTTTGCATTTTCTGTGTTCTAACAACATTTTATTTTAAAACATTTTGTGAGCATTAATTTGATAAATTTATATGTATTTTATTGCTTCTTTCTGCACTGCTGCAGCAAAACAATTTATTGTTTGTTAGTCTGCAGAGGCTATAAAATTTTCTTTTTATACAATTTTGAAAGCAATTTACTGTTAGGCCATTCTTCAATCTAAATATCCCAAAAAAATAGCCGTTTGGCGTGCTTGCAAAACGCTGGAATAATTGAGACGTTCAAAGTACCAATAAATCGCCGCACTTGCGACGGTTACAAATCGATGTCGGTTACGTATTTTAGAATCTGCAAATGTCAGATGAAACGCATTGTTAGTTAGAAATATCGTTCGCTACTCGTGCCCTATTTATAACTCTTGACGAGACATATTGCCGATGTTTGTTCTTGAATTGTTTTTATCACTATGCACCGACTTGGAGCCGTTTAACATCATCTACATGATAAACGACGCGGATTAGCCGAGAATTAACACGAGTTTTACAAAAAAAAATAAGTATATTTTAAAAAGTAAGAAAAACTGATTGTACTGCAGAAATATCAAGATGACATATTTATGTATTTTTTAAATTATATTCCTTGCGTGTTGTTAACTTGATTTATTCTGCACCAACTACTCAATTAAACATAAATTTTAATGCAGTTTATCGAATCGAGAAATTTCTAGTTCTTTCCTGCAACCTGTTGGATTTAGACCAAGCCATTTATTCGCGTAATTAGGACGTATATCAGTCTGCTCCTTTGCTAATTATCGTCAAAAAGAACTTAACTGTGGCGTCGTAAATTAATACTACCCCGTTAAGAGTGAAATGTGATGCTTTCCGTGGAAGATTTATGAGCAATCGCCCACAAATCACTGAATAAACTGACAGTTTATCTCGTTTATTGATTGTCATGGACTGAAACAGTCTTTTGTAAGACTAATGGTGTATAAAAGGCGGAACGTGATTTTTTAGAATTTTGCGACACGCTTTTTGATTTCATTTGTGTTAAGACAGTATCTAAAAGTCGAGCGTTGTACAGGAAATAAAAGGAATTTCCGGTGCAAATAGAGCATGTGGTTGGGTACAAAATGCTAATCTATTATAATTCATATAAACGTTGCAAGTTGGCTAGGTTTTGTGATTAATGGCGGGCGGCTAAAGTAAATTACGCCGAAATTTACGAGATCATTTACTAATAAATTAGATTTTTCTTCTCTGGGTGCGAATCGTAATTAAAATCTAATTTAATTATCATCTTGTTTAATCCGCAAGGGAGATCTTTAAACTGAAAAAATAGCGCAAGGTTAATCGATTTTCCGGGTCATTATCGCAGACTTGGCGACATTAATGACTATAATAATCTTTCATTTAATTATTGTCAAGTGCGTAATTGAAGACAATTTAGATTAAACTGGATTTAGAATGAAAAAAGTTAAATTACATCTTAAACTTGGTCGGGTTAGTGTGAAGTTATCGATTTTTCAGGGTTCATTCCTGAAACCTTTGAAAGAATTGGTGGCAGATCAAATGAGTTTGTTGATGGCTTGAAACGACTTTTGAGCAAATTTCAAGGGATAAGCAAAGTTACAGTTGTTTTCACATGAAAAATTGTAAGAAATTTGTTCCACACAAATGGTGGATGCGCCGGGAAACTATTGGTTAAAACAGCACAATTTAAATTGAAACTTAGGTACAATTTTAAATAATTTTTAATCTAAAAATGCTAGAGGCCAGTTAAAATAAATAAACATAGTTACAGTTTAAATTAGCTTTGCTACACTGCTTTATGTTGCTTATTAAATACATTATTAAGTTTAAACTAAACTGAAAGTAATTAATTTTTTTCGGAAAAAATCGTAAAAGATTTAATTTCTTGTGCATAATTTTAATTTTTTTGTCAAAGAAATTATTTGCTTCAGAATGCTGTACGTAATAAAAAGTTTTCAATATTGCATTTTGAATTTTATTGTGTGAAATTTGGAGTCATTTATTTCATTTCTCGGTAGTTTCCGAAAAGCAAACCAATTCTTGTTTGTTTTGCAAAGTACTAATTTGTAAACAAAACTGACATTAACCACTCGCCACTCCCAAACAATATTTGCTCTCTCAAAAAATCGCATAATTGCTACGAACCTTTGACATTGATAAATCACCGCATTACGAATTTTTATTCTGTGCTTGAAAATCTGTAAAGAGTTTAATTTGCGTCATTGCCATCTGTCCGTGGCTTTTATTTAAATTATTGAGCGCTCTAATTTTGTTCCAGGTGCACTCCAATGGATACAATAACGTGATCGGTTGCATTTATCAACAATGAATTTCACATTACCGCAGAATGACACGATTATGTTCAACTACAGCATACTCGACATCGGTAATGATACACACAAGAATTTTACTGGAGCACCGCTTGATTACATTCCCTACAGTAAGAGACCGGAAACCTACATTGTTCCGGTCTTGTTTTTCATCATTTTTGTGGTGGGAGTGTTGGGGAATGGGACGCTAGTCGTGATTTTCTTGAGGCATAGGACGATGAGAAATGTACCAAACACGTAAGTTGACTATAAATAACTCAATTGACATTTTGTATTCTTGAAGCCTGGACTCAAAGGGAATAGGACATTGAAGCACTTGCTTTTACGTTTTAGAGCTTAAAAATTTAATATTTGTCAAAGAAACTTATTTTAGAAATTTGTACTTTGCTTATTGCTTGTCGTAACTAAAATATTGTTTGAAATCTGCGATAATTAGAGATAAATTAATCTTACTCGGAAATTAGTGATCAGTGAATGAAAAAATTATAAGATTGATTTAAAACAAATTAATGTCAGATTTTTTATGGTGACAAATGTAAGGAAAATAGTTGCTTTAAAGTTAGTTAATAAAAATGTTA